CTTTTGTTTAAAAAGTTTGGAGAACCCTGGTGTATGTGATGGGTGTATTGGGGTGCATTGTGCAGTGTAGATATTAGGAAGCATGCTGTTGTATAGTGGAGTGCTTGGTATTGGGTGTCGAGTGCCTCTTTTAGGGCATGGATGGTAAACTAAATTTTTTTTTAATTTGAGCACTTACCCTAAATCATTCTCATAAAGACTGGCACATTCATTTATGAAATTAAAGTGTTACTAAACCCACAACAGTAAAATCAGTCTATATATGCAGTATAGCATGCTTGTTATAGTCACTGTGGAACCTGAGGGATTAATCCTCTGCATTGTGTAAAAATGCTGTTTGATCCTTTCTTCTCTGATCCTACCATTCTTCCAGTGTCATTCTCTCATCTTCTGATAAGACAGATTGTGTGGAGACACTGCACATGCTCAGTTTGGTGTGTATTGCTAGAGAGGTTTTTATTTTTAATCTTGGGAGAATGCATGTGACCAGCACAGGATCTATCAGCACTGCTCAGAAAGAGGTCAGGGGTTCTGCATCTTCCTAGAGAAAACTCCTCCTACAAACTTTAACCAGTGCTCAGCTGGACACTGATAGAAGTCACAAGACTGTTATACTGTATACTGCTGATAAGAAAAGGTATTTAGCAGTTTATATTTACTAAAATAATTGCATTTCCATGTTCTGTGGGAGACCAGATATAGTGAATGCAGGGTCCTGGGTTTAGTAACACTTTAAGTTTAAATTCAGTTTTAGAATTTACAGTGCACATAAGCCTCTTAGTGAAAATTTTTGACAGTTCAGTATTGGTTTGCTTGTTATAGAAAACTAGTACAGTAGTTGGGGTTCACAGGGCAACTACATCAGTGTAACATCCCCAAGATTTTGATGTCAGGAACATACCTGGTCTTCCTCCTCATTCACCTGTGATGTGTTCACATTTCATTTTTGTAACTGAACCGGACCCCGACTGCACTTGGGTATTTCCGTTATACTCTTGCTTCCCTGTCTGAACACAGATCCACGGACACCACCGCTGACCAAACAGGAAATAGACTGCTTTATTTTAACATAGATACAAGATGTATATACAGGGCGGGGAAATACACACCCAGACAGGAAACACATCAGCAGGTCCTCCCATCAGGGGAAAGGGCTGCCGGAAACAATACATCCCATAATAGTTTGCTCCCAAGCAAGACACACAATAGAACAATGAGATGCACCACGTGGCAGTGAACAATGAACAACCCCCACACCAATATTAGAACATTCCACCCTGTACCCCTAACAGGCACAGGGTGACTTACACATAATAGGGATATGGGGAGCTAAGACAGGGGTCCCCCCACCCCCAAAAGTCACTCCCATCACAATTTTGTATAGAAAAAACAGCAATACTCTGTCCTTCACACCCTTTATCAAAAATGTTGGTCTTTAGAAGGTATAATTAGGTGACTTGACAAAGGAGGCTATGTCTCCGAAAACCCTTCATCATAGCATCCATGACGTAGTCGTGATGTGTGCTCCTAGATTGAGATCTGCCCTCCCTCAGGGTTACTAGCCATCTACAGACCGGCTGGACCGGGGCGCATGAGCAGTGGGGAGGGACACCAACAGTCTGTCACTGTGTCTCCAGCGCAGCCCTCGCTTGCTTGCAGTCGGCAGTGGATCACCCAGAGGCTTCAAATTCTACAGGGACCACACAATGGATCGCTTAACATGCAGACATGCTTGATACCTATGTGAAAATGTGAGTGCAATCAAAAATTTTTTAACCTTTATTACAAAAAAACGGTATTACACTAGGGTGGTTGTGTCCTCTCTCTCTTTGTATGTTGAAGATTTAGTTAGGCATACTGAAAAAGGAAAAACAGCATACTGGTTAACCCCTTGGCGCTAGTGCCTACCGGCCCTTTAGGGTTTCAGAAGCGGGGTTTTAAGGTCATGTGACCACCGTGATTCGCCATCACAGCGGTCACGTGATCAGGAAAGGTCCCGATCGAAAGAGGAAATCGGGACCTTTCCGTGCGTACCGGACATGTGTGCTGGGAGTGTGCAGGGCACGTGCTCTCAGGACATATGTTTTTCTTAATTGCACATAAATGTGCGGGCGCTCGGCGTCAAGGCCCAGGTTCCGGGAGGCCGCACATTTGCGTATGGCCGGCGCCAAGAGGTTAAAGAACAATTTCCAAGAGAACTCAGTAACTTAGCTATTGTCCAGCACTAGGGATAAATGTAACATTTCCCTGTATGGTGGAAGATGAACGTCATGGATAATAACGGTGTTACTACCACTGTTATACATGACAGCTTCCTGCATTCCAGGATCTCCAGATTCAGACCTCAAAAGTAGGTAGTTTGTGTACATCAAATGTCTTCATTTTCAGTTCTGACTGGAGCACAACTTTAAATAAAAATGAATCAGTCCATGGATGTACAGTATGAGAACACATAACATGTAGGGGTCCCTTAGGGCTTGCGTTAATGGCTTTTATGAGCCTCCAAGCGCCATTTGTTATAAAGCATCTCTATAAGGAACATTCCCTATTCATACACTTTGCACTGTGTGCAGCAAACCATCCAGAGCACAGCCCGATGCAGGTGGGGGTCAGACAACCCTTTAATAGATGATTTCCACAGGCTGTGACATAGATTATACAATAGAGCCATCACCTGTCCCTGTGGGCTAGCCTCCCTGCTTACACCTGGCATTACAGGAGCAATATTCAAGGATGGCCAATAGATCCTGCTCCCCTCCAATAATGCATTCCCTAATGTATGTATACCGACGACAACATACCAAAAGACATTGATTTGCTAAAGGCAAATAGACTGTTCACTTTGCAAGGGAATTTTCCCATAGCTCAGTGAACGAGGTGAAGATCTGCTGACTTCCATCTGCAAGCAAAAATATAGTTTTTTAAGTCATCTTTGCACATGATTGGGTATTCTTTGCAAAGTGAATTTTCACCACATCTACTAAGCTAAGAAAAAAATTCCCTTGCAATGTGAACAGCCCATTTGTCTTTAGTAAATCAACCCCTTTAGGTATGTTGTCTTAGGTCTTGGGTCCCTCCCACAGCTCCTCTCTCTGCACAGGCTGTGTACAGCTCAGTGATGCTGTCACCACTACTTTTACAAGGTAATATCTTGGTTTGTCCGGTTCACACACAGTGGATTTATATCATTTGTGGCTATTGAGGATTTTTTTTTTAAATGAATGAGGTTTTTGTGCCCGGAGTTAAGCTTAAAGTGACATTAAACGCTCAGTTGTAAGCACTTTCAGCAGATGATTTAGGCAGATAGTTTATTCACAGATGATTTAGGCAGATTGTTTATTCACAGACTGGGGCGGACTGACAACTCATGGGGCCCCCAGGCAATAGGGGATCATGGGGCCCCTGTGTCCTGGTCCAAACTCAAAAAAGCCTATGAAAAAGGTACCAGGGGCATCTCATGGGGCCCCCTACTGTCCCCAGGCCTCGGGCAGTGCCCGAATTTCCAAATGATCAGTCCACCCCTGTTCACAGATGATTTAGGCAGATAGTTTGTTCACAGATGATTTAGGCTGCTTTCACACTGATCTGTTTTCCTTCCACTTTTCTTCACACTAATCTGTTGCAGGTCCTGCGCGTTTTTCATAGTCCTGCTGGCTGCATTTTTGGTACAGGTTTGGTGCAGTAAAAAAACTACACCAAAAATATATCTCCCTTACTGAAATCAATAGAAAATGTGGTACAGCCCATCAAAGTTGAATCTGCATTGTATTTTTGTGCTTTTTTTGAGTCCCATGTCCTTTAAAAAAACGCACCGCAAACGCTGTAAAAACGCGACAAAAATGCATATGCATTTTTTCTGATAATCAGTGTGAAAGTAGCCATAATCACTCAGTAGCATGTGCAGTTTATTTATCTTTTGATCCGTGCTTAGGTTTCAGTTTAAGTTGGTGCCATGGTCACTACCTCAGGTTTCCTGTTTCAGGGTGGCTCCTTTCTTTTGCAGCTTCCCATGGAGGCACCCTTGCATGCAAGGACTAGAGTCTACACCAGCCTTTCTCAACCAGAGTGCCCAGGCACCTTGGGGTGCTTTGAGGTTTCTTCAGGGGTGCCTTGGCAAAATGTCTAAAAGTTGCACAAAACTTGTATACAAGCCAGCGGGTGGAACAATCCTACCTTTTAGTTACACAAAGCCACAGGTTTTTATTATGCACCATTACAACCTCCTATCCACCGACCTCTTGACAACCAATGACAGCTTCAGCTGATAAGGAGGATGTCAGTTGCCTGCACAGCATCCTTGTTTGACCCTCTCCTGCCCCTCTCCGTCAGTGCTGGGGTCACATTACCTCAGTGATGGAGAAAAAAACACTGTAATACTATTCAGGACCAGCATGCATGAATGTATTTATTTGGAAGAATAAATTACCTCTAGCGTTGGGAGGCCATGTGTGGATGTTGCTGCGTTATATAAAACTATTAGAATAGTTTTTACATTTTAGAATGGGGTGCCTTAAGACTGTCCATAATTTTAGAGGGTGCCTCAAGACTGTCCATAATTTTAGAGGGTGCCTCAAGACTGTCCGTAATTTTAGAGGGTGTCTCAAGACTGTCCATAATTTTAGAGGGTGCCTCAAGATTTTCCATAATTTTAGAGGGTGCCTCGGGACTGTCCATAGTTTTAGAGGGTGCCTCTAGACTGTCCATAATTTTAGAGGGTGCCTCAAGACTGTCCATAATTTTATAGGGTGCCTCAAGACTGTCCATAGTTTTTAGAGGGTGCCTCTAGACTGTCCATAATTTTAGAGGGTGCCTAGAATGTGCCTCTAGACTATCCATAGTTTTAGAGGTGCCTCAAGACTGTCCATAGTTTTAGAGGGTTCCTCAAGACTGTCCATAATTTTACAGGGTGCCTCTAGACTGTCCATAGTTTTAGAATGTGCCTCTAGACTGTCCATTATTTTAGAGGGTGGCTCAAGACTGTCCATAGTTTTAGAGGGTGCCTCAAGACTGTCCATAGTTTTAGAGGGTGCCTCTAGACTGTCCATAATTTTAGAGAGCGCCTCGGGACTGTCCATAATTTAAGAGGGTGCCTCAAGACTGTCCATAATGTTAGACGGTGCCTCAAGACTGTCCATAGTTTTAGAGGGTGCCTCAAGACTGTCCTAAGTTTTAGAATGTGCCTCTAGACTGTCCATAATTTTAGAGGGTGCCTGAAGACTGTCCATAATTTTAGAGGGTGCCTCAAGACTATCCATAGTTTTAGAGGGTGCCTCAAGACTTTCCATAATTTTAGAGGGTGCCTCAAGACTGTCCATAATTTTAGAGGGTGCCTCAAGACTGTCCAAAGTTTTAGAGGGCGCCTCTAGACTGTCCATAATTTTAGAGGGCGCCTCAAGACTGTCCATAATTTTAGAGTGTGCCTCAAGACTGTCCATAGTTTTAGAGGGTGCCTCAAGACTTTCCATAGTTTTAGAGGGTGCCTCTAGACTGTCCATAGTTTTAGAGGGTGCCTCAAGACTGTCCATAATTTTAGAGGGTGCCTCAAGACTGTCCATAGTTTTAGAGGGTGCCTCTAGACTGTCCATAGTTTTAGAGGGTGCCTCAAGACTGTCCATAATTTTAGAGTGTGCCTCAAGACTGTCCATAGTTTTAGAGGGTGCCTCAAGACTGTCCATAGTTTTAGAGGGTGCCTTGACTGAAAAAAAGCAGAGAAACACTGGTCTACACCATGTGCATCAAAAGAAACCCACAGCCCCATAGCCTAGGATGGAAAGACACTCCCCTGCTCCTCCCTCCTCCGCCCTCCCTTTTCCAACCTGACACACTAGCTTCTGACAGCACTGTCCACTATTAACTCTTTTCTGTGAAGACTTGAAGTTTAGGGAAGCAGCACTGAGAAAGCAGGAGCCAGCAGCAGATAAAAGTTTAAACTACAAGTGCTGGGGTAAGAATTTTAACGAATAGTTTACTGGTGAAAGTTTATGTGCTCTGTGTGTTAAGCTAAAACAAAAGAGCGTTTATGACTACTTTCTTCATATCCCATGGAGTTAGTAACCTAAATATTGTCCTATGTGGCACTGAATGATGCTTCTGCTCTGGTACTGGTGTATACTATACATTCTCATGTTTTAAACATCAATTCAAAATGTTCCATGGGGTTTGGATGAATTTTGCATACGTCTTGTTCCATTTGCATTTTTCTTTTATAATGTAAGCCTGTTCTAAAGCACAATTGCCTTTCCGTTCCCCTCCTGACTAGCTCCCTGGAAAACACACAGTGCAGAGGGGCTGGGGGGACTGAGTGTGCCTGCTGCCTGTCTGTCTGCTGCACTGACAGCCCACCTACTCCAGGGGACAGCCCCTCCCACCTGCAGATAAAAGCCAAGAGAATGTTAACAGCAGCTGATCAGAGCACTTTCTCAGTCCCTCACTGTCACATGTCGGCATCATACCTTTCCCTTGGATCTTGTATAACCAAGGTAAGAAGATGGCATGCTTTATTTCTTAGACTTTAGACCAGCCTAAAAAAATAATGGCCACCTGTCCATACAGACCAGACAGATCAGCTGCTGCTGCAGTGCCTATTCCAATTACTTTTTTTTAAAGTTTTTGTTTTCTCCTTGATAGAGTGAAATCAGATCTCTGCCTATTTCATTTATTTCTCAGATCTGATTGGTAGAGGTGTAGTCAGATGATGGGAAGAGTTAAAAATGAGTTTTAGCAGGTATGAGTAGGGAGAGGGCAGCTGCATTGTTTGCAGATTGTAAATGACACATCAGTGCTAAGAAGGTGCAGGGAGGGGCTGTGACATTCTGCACTTTGTGTTCCCGCACAGACGTTCAGCAGGTGTACTGAGACTTCCCTGGACAGTGCTGGAGGCTGGGAGCATTGGGCTCACTTGCACTCAATACAGAGGAAAAGGCAGATGGTCACATATCTCCTATGTTTTGGTCTTCTAGTGTAACCCTAGGTTCAAAGTGAAGCGTCTTCTGCAGCGTTTTGCAGAAATGCACTACAGTCAGTTTAACATGATTTCCTATGGGACACGTTCACATCTCCGCATTTTCATCCGATGCGTTTTTTGGAAAGGGTCAGGGACTTTTTTGAACACAAAAAGTTGCATTTCTGGTTTTATAGATTACAATGTCAACGCTGCATAAAAGAAAAGAATGTAGTGTGTTTTTGCTGCGTTTTTGTCACGTTTCTGATGTGTGTTTTGCATTTTAAATCTGTCTAGCAACAAGAAAAAAAAAAAATGAAAAATGCGTCAAAAACACAAATCACACTGCAGAAACGGATCAAAAGCAAACTGCATAGGTGTGAACCTAGCCTAATGAACCATCACATTTTAAAACAAAAAAAATTAAAACAAACATTTTTTTCTTAAGAATAAACTTGTCCTTAGTCATTACAGAAACCCTTTTGTGAAGCTGTCCAGCCCTGATGATGAGTTAAATGAATGCAAATCTAAGGTAAAAAGCAAAAATGGATAGTTCTGCAGCTTACCGGTCCTTAGATGTGGTGGCTGCATTCATTTTCTTTTTTCACACTTTTTTCCCCTTATTTTAAACTGGCAATCCTACCGTGAACTCACTTCCTAGTCAAGGGTGACAACTGTACTGAGCAGCGTTGTCACCCTAGGACAAGGAGTGTGTTAAGACTACATTACACCTTTCTCTCAGCTCCATAACATGGAAGGTATTTTGAAGTCCACCGAGATAGCTGGAAGCAATATTAACTGATAACAGTCCAGAGGCAGAGTACAGGAAGTTATTAGGTCACAAGATTTCTGCTACTTTTTGTATGCACTTGTCAAACAGAAACACTTTCAGTGGTATATGTAACAGACCAAAAGGGAGGAATGCATTATTAGAGTTTACATACACTTTAAATAGCTGTCTGTGATTTTAGAAGTAAAATCATTGAGTTCCCAGCTCTGCCCATCTATCTCAGCCTTTACCAATGATCTGACTCTCATTTGGAATTCTTCATTTGGAGAATACATTAGAAGCACTAAGACCTCTCATCCTTAATTTTTAGCCTACTGACATGGTGTTGGGGAAAATGTAGTAGCAGCACTGCTACTGCTGCTGCAAGAGGACTGAGACTCCATGATGGGGAGGGGGATACACTGAAAGCCAGATCTCTGTCTTGGAAAAAAGCCACTGCATGATTCTTCCAGCTGGGGTCCACTCATAACTGAAATACCCGTTGTGTATAGAATTACCCCTTTAAAAATGAAAGTGTATGCAAAGTGCAGCATTAGATTTATGTTGTTTGTTCTCTTATGGTCTGTTAAATATCTGATTGAAAGTATTTTATTATATCTGTTCAATGAGTGCAAAAAAGTCGCTGTTCTTTTAACCAGAAATTTAATGAGCTGATAACTTGTACTACATTTAGATCTGCAGCTAAATTGTCGCTCCTCTGATCCGCATTCAGAACGCTCTTCAGAGGCATTTGACAGACAATGAGAAGGTGATATGACACTTGCTTACCGCCTGTTTTACCATTGTGCTGTGCCAGAGCGCTGCCGCCATGTTTATTGTGGCACATCCCCATTTACTTAAATTGGTTGCATTCAGCAGTACTGCTGGCCGAAGACAGCACAGGAGCGATAATTTTTGTCGTGGTCACCAAGTAAAGCACCAAAACCGTGGAATGTGAACACCCCCATCCAATCCACTGCCTTTGCAGCTTAAGGTGGGCAGTTAGGTAACATAAAAAATGCGGTTTACCCACGTGTTTATAATGCGCCCACCCACCCCAAACTGCAAGTCAAAATGAGCCCTGTGCTCTCTAGACTGTTATCATGTAGGGAACAATGGCTCCCTGCTAGCTCTGTGGACTACAAAACACCTCCCCTGTTTTGGAGAAGAGAGGGTGGGTTTACATAGCCCTAACACATTATTATGTAGTCTCAAACACACTCCCTGTCCTAGGGTAACAATGCTGCTCAGTACAGTTGTCACCCTAGGACCGGAAGTGTATCAGTGGCAAGATTACCAAGTTAAAATAAAGGGAAAAAAGTGTGAAAAAAGAAAACCAATGCAGCCACCATATGTAAAGACAGGGAAGCTGTAGGACTCTCAGTTTTTGTTCTTGGGTTTAGGTACGCTTTAATCTTGGACAAGAGAACCTGTTATGTACAATGAAAAATAATCAACAGGGGTTGCTGCTTTCAGCTTCGCTTGGAATATATTCTATTGAAGCTTTATATATATAAAGTATCATAATTCAAATGACTTGCGGTAACCAATAGCAGCCAGTAGGATATATGTTTTCTGCCTTTTATTCAAGTATGGCTGAGATAGAATGACTTTTTGGTCTCAGTTGGTGGCTGCACATCTGGCTGTATGTCTTGTACAATAATACATTGTAATAATATTCTTTCTTTATTAGTGTAGTGAAAGCAATGGTGTGCAGTAATCCCTGGCAACCAATCAAAATGAGCTTTTAGCAGCTTAGGGTTAGCAAATTAATGAAAAGCAAACTGCGACTGCAGTGCGTTTGTGCACACAACTGCTTGGTGCACAGTTAGTACAAAAGTGCAAATCCGTGAACTACCCATTTTATGACACAGCTAGATTCCAGGCATACAACACTGCTGTACGTAATTTAAACAATCTCTAAGAAGATTTTAACATACTTAATTTAAGTTTTTCTTTTCTCAGACCAAAAACTGCAATTAAATTACCATGTAAAATAAAGGAACTATTCTATCCTCAGCAGCACATTTGGACAGATCTTCATTTTCAAATACTGCATGTCAATGTGTTATTCATTACCTGGATATGTGCTATTTTCTTAAATGTTGTTTTCTAACAGAATGAAAGGATTTTTGCCATTAAAATCTGTTTAGTTTATTTCCTATGATTCCCTGTTTGAATGGATGAGGGCAAATTTGTTTGGCAGAAGTTATTATTTCCTTGAAGGCATTGAAAGGAGTTCTATGTAACTATCAATCATCTTGCAGTCTTTTTTTGGGTAACGAACACTTTCTAGAACTTAAGCTGGCCATACACTAAAGAATTTTGAACAAATTCTTCATTTTGAACAAACATTCATACAAAAATGTGTCCAAAAATTCTCAGTACATTAAATGTCATTGGCAATTGTCAATGGCAAATGTCATTTGAAAATAATTTTGTTTGTCTTTAATGTTCAAGTTTGGAACAAATGGACTTTCCCGGAAGAAAATCACATTCACGGTTAGAAATGTATTCATTTGTGAAAAGTTTTCCATCCAGTCCTTCAAGATTTCTTGTTACTGTGGTCCAACACGAACACTGATTTGACAACATTAACGATTAGAAAGTCAAATGAACCTCCTGAAAATGAAACATTTTGGAAAAAATTCTACTAGTGTATGGCCGGCTTTAGTTGGGTGTAAACCATATATTACTAATCAGGCCTTCCATGAGAGATGCCAGTGGGTGGAAATGCTCAGCAACTGTCCCAGGCTCCAGTGGAGTCCCACAAGCTTGATGTTTGCCTGACTTCACTTCTTCTGTTGGAACCTTCATAATGTAAAATGAAGAATCCAACACAGTGAGTGAGATCATGCCACAATCGTAGCAACAGGTAGACATCACTAGAAACCCAGTTACATAGA